ATGAGGGTCTTTTATTGTGGCGGTAATAGATTGGGGCTGTATTTTTACAACAGGAAATGTGCATGTGTGTGAGATGGTGTAGTGCAACATTTTCAGTAAACCTCAGCTGCACACAGGACCCGCTGCCCAGGTCTCGCACCCCCTATCATAAATCAAGTGGAAAAGTCAATAGAGTTGTTGGAATTTATGTGAGTTTGAGTCTTCTCTTTTGAGATGATTTGTTGTAGATGAGGGACTAGAGTACAACAATTCAGAGGCACAATTTATTTTCCTCAAATTGTCCACTGACAAGCAAGGACTCTGGACAAGAGGAAATCGCAAATGCTGACAGAAACAGAAGCGTCACAAAAACATGCAATAACTAGTTAATTAGGGGTCAAAATGCACAATTTTTTGTGAATTAGCAAATGCTACAAAGCACCGTGCAGTGTCATCATAGAGCCTTAACTGACCCCACCAGATGTCCTAACCGAGGACACATAGATAGTCCTTGTTCTCGGGTCACACCCCCAAGACACGTCCTCAACATCTGCCATTCCCACCGCACAGCATTTGGGATCACACACATCAGCAGCATCACACATGGTCCGCTCAAGCTCAGTGTCACATATAAGCCCCCTGAATCACCTCCAACCACCCCTCAAGTGCTTATCACCAACAGGACATAAAAATCATCCATTTGACTGTTCTTACATAACAGACCTGCCTCATGTAGAGGAAATCAGTTGCTCCAATCCCAGTTCTTCCCCCATGACCCCCCTTACTCATCCCTGCTCCTCCTTCCATTGTGTTAGTCGTGATAAATCTCCTGCACCCACCCCCTATGCACTGTTCCTCCCTCCTTTCCACAGCTCTTGTTGTGCGTCCCGCTCAGGTGCGGCCCTCCGCTCCCGCTCTTCTATTCCTTCATCGCATGGGAACAATCTCCTGGTAACAGGCCCTGAATATGCAGATTGGTTAATTCAGCTGCAGTTGCTCTCTCTGTAAATGCATCTGCAGCACTTTCCTAAGACTGAGCAGTGAATAAATGCTTACGCTGGGGCTTTTTAGGTGGTAGTTGGGGGGGGGGGGTGCCTGTGTCCATGGCAGATTGCAGCCAAGGATGGGATTTTGAGAGTGGAATAAGGCAAGCAGAACTAATAAGAGATTAGGCTTTGACCGGTGCAAACCTCGGGCACAGGTAGTGACTGATCCTGATCAGTTAAGGAGTAATTAATTTAATTGTGCTCTTTATCATGGCTTAGCTGCATCTCCTCCCTGCTGATGCAGTTATAGCTTCTCTCTGCAGCTCACCTGGTTATAGCCTTTGCAGCAAACATTCCTTTAACATTTTCCAAAACAGCTGAGAGAGCAGGAAAAACACTGCATTAAAAACACATCTTCTCCCAAAATCAACGCACACACGAAAACAGCAAGCCCAGTTGCACCAAGGCTACACGGCCTTTTTCTGCTCGTCTGTAAAAGACGTTTGATGTAACATAGCGCACGCAAAGAGCCGCACATTCAGGAACAAAATACACCAAGCAATGTGTTTTTTTAGAGCACCGGAGTCAAAGATATTAGAAGTGTAAATGATAACGAAAATGCGATTTTGTGCTCCACTGTGTGCAACACTGCTTTGCAAAGTTAGTGTCACTCGTGAACATGGAAAAATAACTCCTGCCATACACAAAGGCACTGGGTGCATAAAAAGACTGTAGTTAACCCCCCTTCTCCATCTCTGTTGTGCTTTCTGCAGCCTTAGCACTAAAATCTGATTCAAGCTTTCTGTGAACAAGTGCACTGCTTGCCAATACAAATGACAGCGGGAGTGGGCCACGCGCCAAAGTCCTCCCCTGACTATCAAAAGAGAAAAGCAATCAAAAGAAGCAATCAATATAAACAAAGTCTTAACTACTATTGATTATTTAGCTCCACACTGATGGGCAATGATAGTTATGGACCTGAATTCATACACTCAGTTGATTAATATCTTTACCCATGTGTTGAATCAGCCAAACAGGCAAGAGTTTTTACATTATTTTTTAATTTTTGGGGGGTGGGATTGTATAAAACGAATGCACATCATCCAGAGGCTCAGTGGCAGTGTTGTGTCTGGTGTGACATGCCAGCGGGATGTAATGGAAACTGTTCCTCAGCTCAGCATCCTGCGGTGTCATCACTCACTGTAAGGCGGACCGTTACTTCCATCAGCTGCATTTGAGTTTGGGCAAGTCAGCAAGTTTTCCTCTATTGCACACGCAGCCCATGCTAAAGAAATATACCCTGGAAAGGCCCAGGATCCCTTAGCTGAGCTCTCAGTCTCTGGTGAGGTAGTGGCCACTCAGGCTGTTTCAAGTATCCTCTCTGAGCGGTAGGTCATAAAGACAAATGACAGCACGGTGTATGACTTACAGAGCGTGATAGGAAACGAGAATGCAGAAACGCCACACTGCTTTTTTTATTCCAATGAAAGCTTAGGTTGGTTATGCATGGCTCAAAATCAAGGCCACCACTAATCTGTCAATTACAGCCTAAAAGCCTCCACCATATCACCGCCAGGTTTGCTGGATGGGAACTGAATGTTGATTTTGTAATTACTTTTCAAATGTAGGTCTTTTGTTTAGTCAATCATGACAATTCTTTCCTTTTTTTTGTCAGTGCAGACAATGACTGATATGTGCCGCTAAACTCACTGTGCAGGAGGGTTTTCGCTGCTTTTAGCCACGTTAATTAAATGGCTTTAGGGATAAAAAAAAATATCAGCCTGTCACTCAATTGGTCCGCCACTTACACTGAAGCATTTCAAGTATTGGATGGATTGCGCTTATGCTGAATCCTACAGTAGTGACTTCAGGCCAACAGTTTCTCCTTTTATTGAAATAAAAGTATCTTTGCAACTACTTTATGGATTTATACAAAGGCAAATTTAATGCAGATATCCCATGATCACCAGGGGATAAATAAGGATAAATCCTTTTTTTTTTTTCTCATAATGCTCTGACTTTTACTCTCAGGCCACCATGAGGTCGTGATTTATGGTTTTGGGCAAAATACTTCAGCAATTACAGGATTGATTGCTGTGAAATTCAGTTCAGATGGATTGCAGCAACACCGGGGATCCTCTTTCATATAACGCCATTCTCAAGTCAAACAGCTTCCAGTATGTGGTTTATCACAAATACCTGCAAAACTGATAACAAATCCATGAACCCGAACTGTGCTATATGCTGCTATTTGCTTACTGAAGCTAAAAATAAGCTCTCAAAATACACTTAATAGTATTTAAAAGCATTTTATGTGATTATAACTTGTTTAAAAGAAATTACAGCACTTCAAAAGAAACTACATATATACCCCAGAGGCAATAAAAACTCATGTTCTCAAGGGCTGGTATTATTTTTTTCTACCAATCCTTGTATTAATAATTAAACCTGCTGAGAGGTTTTCCTTTAATGAGATGGAACAATTGAGCAGAATTCCTAGTCAGGTCATCGCCGAGCTGTCAACGCGATACTGCTCCCCTGAGGCTGAGGCCCTCCAGCAGTCTACTGCTGTGTCTGTGAATGCGTGCGTTACAACTGTGTTTGCTTTGATTTGCGCACATTAGAGCCGCTCTCCTCCTTGTTATGCCTCATGTATCAGAAAGCGCTTTGCAAAGAGCACGTCATGATAACTTAAAGCGACTTTACGGATTTGAAAGGAAAAATGTGACAGGTTTTACTTTGAGCATTTAGGAACAGTTTGGTGGATTCAACAATTGAGACACCTGCGCTCTGAATATAAAAAGAGTGTTTTGTGTGTGTGTGTCTCTGTGTGTGGCTTGATCCTAAAACATGATCTAACCGTTTTTATATATTTTGGATCACATAAACCTCAAATATTCATCAGCATCCTGAACTTTATTTTAAACTTTAGAGCAGATTTTAAATGTCACTGTGAGAAAATGTGTCTTTTATGCAGGTCGGTCGGCTTAGTTAAGCATAAAGACTGGAAACGGAACGACATGGAGCCTGACTGTGTCCGGCAAACATCAACATGTTTTATCTCGTTATATAACCACTAATACACCTCAAGTATGAAATTACCCCACAGAATCGCAGCATTTTTACACGTCAGTTATGCTGAGGATTAAATAAACGTCAGGCATTTGTTTCACCTCTCTTTGCAGTCTAACTAGCTTGCAGTGATATTTTCATATTTATGAGTACGCTTTAATAAGCTATAAAAAATAACGTTTTTCCTCAACAGTGTTATACCATTTATTTAATATCTTGATAATACTGACAGCTACTACTATACAATCTAATATGATGCAGTACTTTTTCTTTTGAAGCCAAACTTGAATCTCAAGCTGCCTCCACTCCATCTGTACATGGATGATGACACGAATACTGAGAAACTGTTCAGCTTTTCAATTTCAGCAGTCTTTCAAGATAACTGTAGAAACCCTGGAATAATGGTATGATGACAAATACACTGCTTACTCATCCCATCACGGAACAATTTCAAGAATATTATAGTCAGCTGTCAGTGTACAGTGTAGTTTCCGCTAATCTAACTCTCATCAGCACCCAAGAATATAAGAAAGATTCAACTTTAATTAAAGGGTTGCATTGTAAAGCTCCTGTAATCCGGTTATAAATCAGCTATTTGATATTCATGGAATACAAATCACAGCTGAAGGATTTCTCTTTTTCTATTATTACCTTTCTTCTTGCTGCTTTGAAATGATCTAATGTAACTATTTATTTATGTTATTGTCAAGCTTTGTATGTGGGAATGTTGGAGAACCGCAGAACTGATGTGAATTTTACAGGTCATGTGTCTTTACCAGGGACAAACAGGTCCTGATTGGCCTGCCTTACAGGGGCAAATGTTTAGAGATTTAAATAACTTCTTTCTTTAGTTGGCACGTTATTGGAATTGCAATTTTTCTGTGTTTCTGTTTTTTCTGGCTTCTTGGAAATGTGTATTTATGATAAAAAATCATCACTTTGACATCCAGTGCATTTACTTACATTAGAATCAAGGAGGTCAATGCTGTCCAAGCTCTTGCTCCTATGAATGCGGCCCTTGATGCGGCGGAGTGATGGCTTGCCCTGACTGGTGCTCACGGAGGAGGCTGCTGTGCCGGAGCCTGCGGTAGGACTGGGGTGTATCCTGAGGTGAGCAGAGAGGGAGCAGGAGGAGTAGGGAGGAAAACAACAACACCACATCAGGGCAAATAAGCTCATGCATATTTTTAATACAGCAGGAGAAAGTGCCACGAGTGAGACTAAAGAAGACGAGGAAGCAGGCTTTAGTGATGTTTCTGCCTTTCAAAATGCCACAGCCCCCCTACGGGATAAAATGGCATTTAAAGAAATCTATAATTGGATTTAATTTTACAGAGGCACTGTAGGGAAGCTTCGAACACAGAAGGCCAGTGCTGCTCCGCAGGCCATGGCAGCCAAACTACAGCTGGGTTGTGGTGAGATGTGGGGAGGAGACACACTGGGCTGACCTGTCACCAATACTCTCATGAAATGTTGTACCCATCGCAAATGACATACTTAAGCAGCGTCGCTGGAGCCCTGCTGACCACATTAAAACCCTCTGCCTCTCCTTCCTTTTGTTTCTTAATTGCTGTGTAAATCACTATAATCACCAAAAAATTAATCAGCCCCAATGGGGGGGTGAATAAAGCAGTCACATCTACCTCCTTTAAGCCTTACTGTATGTTACTTTAGCTGAACTTTCTAATAGGGCACAATAGTTGTGCTTATACATTATACATACAAGCCTTAAAAAAAATAAAGATTATTGATTAGTGGTTTGTAACAAATTACTAATGTTTAAATATCCAGTGAGCAGAAGTTCTCAGGGTGAAAATGTCTTGTTGTCAAAGGGTTCAGAGGGGAGCTTTAAACTCACAGGAAGCCACTATTAACTCAAATAACCACTTGTTACAACCAAGGTATGCAGAAGAGCATCTCTGAATTCCCAACATGTCAAACCTTGAAGCAGATATGTTAAAGCAGCATAATACCACACCAGATGCCACTTCTGTCAGGCCAAGAACAGGAAAAGCGGACAATGGAGGGCTAGAAAAACTGTTGCCTGGTCAGATGAGTCTTGATTTTCTCTGTGACATTCAGATGGCAGGGGCAGATTTTGACATAAATAACATGAAAGCATGGATTCATCCCACCTTGTATCAGTGGTTCAGGCTGCTGGCGGTGGTGTAATGGTGTGGGGGATATTTTCTTGGCACATTTTGGTTCCCTCATTACCAAATGAGCTTTGTTTAAACACTACAGCCTGGAAATACCTGGTTACTTGTGACAGTGAGTTCACTGAAATCAAATGGCCTCCATAGTCACCAGATCGAAGTGTAATAGAGGTTGCTTTGCGATGTCAGTTTGCCAAATCATGCAGCAACTGGAGTTTTAACCGTCAGTAACCTAGCTGTATTTATTACATTTTCCTATTGTTAACTGTAAAGTTAATCCTCTACAAATCTCATCTATAAATGATTAGTAAATAGGTTATTAAGCGTTCATAAACCAGTTCAAACGTTAATTTGTGACTTCATATATATTTTTTAGCAAGAGTTCAAAAATATGACTGATGTTTCTTAACGACAAAAAAATGTTTTAAATGTGTTTTAAATTTCTCAAATTTGTATATTTATGCCTTTCAGTAATGTATTTCTATATCAACGCAGTTTCAAAGGTGCTGTGATCATTATTGTCACATGCGTTGTTTCGCTCTTCTGTTTAAAATACAATGAAAATGTTAAAAAAGTCAAAACGATATACTAGGGCAATCCATACATGACTGGTTTACTCTTTAGAACTTTTTAAAAATCAGCAGTGGATGTTGCTACATAATTTTGTCCGTACTGAATTAATTCAGTGTAGAAAAAGTTTCTCATGAATATAAAAAGCTCATGAAGCATAGTGTAGCTCAAATTGGCGCTATTGTTACTGCCTCTTCTCTTCTCTGAGTCACTCCTAATGAGGATTTAGATAACACAATATTCAATGAGGTAAAATCCCCTCTATACAGTGCAGCTCAGAGAAAACAGATATCCATTAGCGAGCTCAACAGCAAGCCCGAGGAGCTCCCGAGGTTTGGAGGCTCAGCAGAGACGTTACGGGAGAGAGGCGCGGACAAAAATGGGAGGGAAGAGAACATCACCAACCGCTTTCTACCTGCATTCATTCAATTATTGCCTGAAGCATACTAAGGGGCTTACTGGAAACTCTACTGTGAACCATTCAACAGTACGAGTATGTGCGGTCAATTACTGCCGACCTCAGGTTGTTCTCATAAACAATACAGCAAACATGACTAATGAGAAAAGCTGCTTGGATTGTATCACAGCCCTGGTGCAGCCTTGCGCATTCAGAGCCTCATTTCTTGGATGTTGATTCTGAAATGGATTTCAGCCAAAACACTTCAAGCCACAAAGGCAAGGAGTAAAATAGTGCCAGCAACTGTGCCGACTCAGATATAATGTGCAGTGAATTATTTCTTATTCTCTAACAAATATGCAGGTGTAATGTTTCACTTGTGAGCTGAGACAATGTATAACACTGTGAGATTTAATAATAGCCTCTCCCTTTCACTTGTGACATTTATGGGCACAGTTTAAACTACATGGATGGATGGATGGCGTTTGGCAGCCCAGAAATATTGCCAAAGTGATTGAAGGTCAAAAGAACTCTTTATAATTTAAAGACACATAGTCACAGATTTGAAACTTTACAGGAATAGTTTGACATGTGGGAAATATTGTCCGATCTTTTCATCTTTTCTCCTTAAGAGAAAGGCTACTACCTAATGTGAACCTCACTATTAAAGGCATAAACCATTCACTTGTGGAGAAATCGGACAGGTTAGCTGGTAGCCAGTGTTACTTAAAACCCCATACTTAAATAATTTAACCAGTTGTGTGCCATTATAATGTTATTTTCCCATCATCTATCCACTTTATTCAATTCTGGGTTGTGCAGGGAAGCTGGTACTTATCCCAGCTGCCATAGGCCAAGAGGCAGCGTATACTCTGCCCAGAGACCAATTAGCCTAACTTCAATGTAAGTCTTTGGACTATGAGAGGAACCCAATAATCCAAAGAAAAATACAAATCCACAGAGGCACAGCCAGATGATGGACTCGAACTCAGGACCTTCTTGCTGTAAGGCCCTATGGCCCAATGTTATTTTGCTTCTTTGAAAAATATGAAGACCAATTCAGTCAGTTCATATCTGTTCATGTATTTCTTTCCCTTTTTTCCCTATCATATGCTGTTATGTTGTGGATGTGAATGTACTACAGATGGAAAGTATTTTTTTCTAGTTTTGGATTTTCATGATGTCAAGGAGCACAGAAAGCCTTAATAAGACACTCAGAAGCCCCTCCCACCTACTGTTCAAACGTTGCATTTATGAGGTACTGTTAGTCAGAAGAAAGTTGGGTTAAAGTAGAAAGAGAGCGCAAAATATATTGTATTAGACTGCGGATGAACTGAGGGGAATCCATCAAGACCCAGTACAAGACAAATAATCTACTTTTACTCTACTGTAGTTAGAGTTTACAAATAAAAATATCATAGTTGGCCCTCTTTAATATGAAACAGCTAGGAGAAGTGTAGCTTGGCCTTGCTTACTGCAAGCAGAGAGAAAAGTATTAAGCATCAGAAACCTAGCATCACTAATTAAGATGCTATATCTTGTCTGTTTCATATGTACCAGAAAAGAAAAGAAAGCTGTTCTTGACGTTATTATAACTTGCTGTAAATTCCTGGAGTGATGTATTAAAAAATACATGCATATACTATCATTCCCACTGCTGTTTCTATACATACAAAAATATGAGATGTCTTCTAGTATATTTTACAATATATAGCAACCACTTATACACAGTACAAATTGCTGCTGTATTTAATTGGATCTGTATTTTTATCAGGGTTTTTTGTACACTGTATTTTCTTATTTATTTTTTTATTTTTATTTTTCTAATATATCTCTAATTCACTTTTTCTTTTTGACCCTTGTGCTGCTGTAACAAGTGAATTTCCCCAGTGTGGGATTAAATAAAGTCTTTATCTATGTAACAGAGGGGGGTCAAAACAATAACATTTTAAATCATTCAAGAGATTGTAGGCCTAAATCACAGCACCACAGTTTTGACATCACGCATCCAACAGCAGCTGTTTAATATTCATATTTATTTTGTGATTGAAAATGACAATTTTCCTGACATCTGTTGTGGCTAACATTTCAAAACTGGTCCCATCAAGCGAGTACACCCTGTCGGAAATCCTTTATCAGCGTGCATTAGCAGAATGCTAGGGTTTCTGTGGGCCACACCATCCTTCTGTTGAACACAATAGTATTGGTATTAATAATTATTTCACGCCTGCAGCTCAAGTCACTCCGATGGATAGAGATCAGTGTTTTTTACAGTATATTGCAACACATTTTCCCGCTGTAGGCTTAATAGGTAGTTAAAATAGTCTCGATAAATTGGCTATAGTTTTAGCCAGAGTTAAAGAAAAATCACTGTATAATAAACAGAAAGCAATTTTAATTGGGTTTTTTGGTAATTTGGTACTATTTTCTCAAGTGTTGTATGCTTCCTTTTTTAAAGGGAACATGCTCAGACTTCTATCAGGTAAGGTAAAACAGACTCATTACTTTTATTGTAGTTATACAGAATTAAGTGGACCGATCATTTTTATGCAAGCAGAAACCCCCCAAAGACCCATTGCAAGCCAGGAAAAACCCAGCTAAGGTAATCTTTGCAGCAGCTGCTGCAGGCTGCATATTAAGAGAAGAGACATGAAAGTGCTATCAATGTTCTCAGCTAATGGGCAGCAAGAAAGCAAAGGGGCAAATGTTCTGAGAGACTACATATGTTACTGAAAGGACATTTTGTCAGCTTTTATTACTTTCATGTATTTTCTGCTGATGTCAAATAGCTGCATAGATGCTGCGAATGCAGGATTTTTTTTAACCATTAAGAGCCTAAAAGGTATTCATAATCATTTCTTTGCTGCTTTGTTTAACAAACAGTTCAAGCGCTTGATGCATGGCAAGTTAACAAAACAGTGTGGGTCATCTTGGCCCTGGTATAATGGGAGTATTGGAGTCTTGCCCCATTTGTAGTTTCTT